TTTAAAAGCAGCAGATATTAATTTTTAAACCCGAGCAGTAGATATTTTTAAAATCTGTTTTATCAGGGATACTCTCCTTTTCCATTTTACAGTGCTTGTAAATGCTCATTTTGCCTGTTATTCCTTTCTACATTGCTCTCACTAGCTTGTCCCTGCATCGGTGTAGAACTGTCATTCAAAAACAAATACTATCTGTGAACGTTTTTGTCAATGCTTTTGCACTGTCAGAAGTGAAAGTAAACTTGATTTTTGTTGTTGTTGTTGTAATGTTTGCAGATAAATCGTTTTGTATGCTTTATCACAACTTTTAACTTAGGGATGAAACTAAAAGGATGTCCATGGTTCTGAATTTGTGAGAGTTACACCGTAGGAACTTTGAAATGTAGTGTTTAGATTTCATCAGCAGCTTTGTACCACTTTTGTGTTTTAAACAGGGTATCTGGGTACTTATTTTGTTAACTGGCCATCTTGCCTGCCACCTAGATAGGCAGGTAATTGATAGAAGAAAAAAGAAATTACCCAATTTTAGGTGTTGCTAATTTTGAAACTGATACAGCCCCCCCTCTCTCTTTCTCTCTCTCTCTAACACACACATACAAACAAAAGCAAAAGTTCAGTCCTGATTAATGTAGATTGTTTGTTGGGGACACAGAAATCTGTGATGTCTTTAATATTTAGCACATATTTAGTTCATGGGATGCATGAACCAGAATTATTTTTCGGGGTTTTTTTGTGATCATTTTTATTTATATAAATGATAGTGCCATTCCTTGACTGAAACTTGTGCTGTAATCCTATTCTCAACTTCAGTACTGCTAAATGAATAAATAAAAGAGCAAGATTGCACCAACTTTTCATGCAGGCCTCTGTGGAAAGTGTGAAATGGGCTCTGCCTGCATCCAGTTGTTTGTGAGGCTGGGCATCCTGCACATACATCTCTAAGACTACATGCATACCGTGCCTTTAACACTTAATGCTCTCACCTTCATATCTTCAGTGAATAAGAATTGGAATTGAGAATAGCACTGGGATTTTATAGCAATTTTTTAAGGGTTTTTTTTGTTTTGTTTTGTTTTGTGTTTGTTGTTGTTGTTGTTTATCAATTGACATTAGAGATATGCATTTAACACAGGGGTAGGCAACCTTTCCCCTTTAAGGGCCGAGGGACTTCAGCTCCCAGAATCCCAGGAGCTATTGGCTAACATGGGACTATTGGCCAACATGGCTGAGGCTTCTGGGACCTGAAGTCCCTCGGACCTTAAAGGGGAAAGGTTGCCTACCCCTGATTTAACAGAACAAGAGAGCAGGCACCAATCCAGCCTCCAATTGAAGGCAGAGCCATCAAGCTTGATGCCCTTTCTGAGTATGATACACTTCCCATATTAATTTTCTGGCTCTGCCTTCAAGTAGACCAAGACCTCTTTGCTGAACCACTCAATTTTGTGGAAATAAACTTCTTGATCTATTCTTACTCTTGTCTTAACAGAGACCAGGAGAAGGAGGAGGTTGTACCTTTTATCCCAAGAATGCGAATATGTGTTTTTATAGAGGTTATTAACTAGTCTGCACCCACAAAGTTGCCTGATCTGTTTCCCATGTTCTTTTTTTGGGGGGGTACTCCTAAAAGAAGGGGATTTATAGAGCTAATCTAGACCTAATACTTGACTATTTGAAACAAACCCTACAGACGCTATCAGAGATGTTATACCTACCTGTGAAGTCTCATAGCATCCATAAATGTGATCAGTGTTGGCTTGCTTAACTTCTGTAGCATGGCTCTTCTGTCATACGATGTGGTATCTATTGCATACCTAGCCCATCATGGCTGTGTTTTTATGCATAGACTCTGCCAACTGGACAAGATTCTGTGGTACACTCCCTTCAGCTGGAACCTACCTGAGATCTGAGGCTAATACAACACAGTATGGATTGAATTAGAATTAAGGTTGAATTACAAATGGTTCAACAATGACTTGGAGATTATGAGATTTATGAACATAGCATACTTCTCATAAGCCTTCCATAGCATCTTCTACCTTAAAAAAAACAGGTTGTACTTGGATGAGTTATGTGTCAAGCTTCCAAAGAAGGTTCCAGTACCTCCCATTGATTTGGAAATAGTATTAATAAAACCCTGGAGTGTATAGGGTATAGGGACGTAGGAGGTGGCTTTATATTGAATCAGACTGTTTGCCCATCAAGGCTAGTATAGTCAGCTCTGACTGGCAGCAACTTTCTAGGGTTTCCAGACTAACATGGCTATGTCTTTGAATCCTCACCTTTTATAGATCTTTTGCCTCTTGGCTGTCTATTGTTGTTGTGTGCTTTCAAGTTGTTTCCGACTTATGGCAAACCTGTGACAGGGTTTTCTTGACAAGTTTCTTCAAAGGGGGTTTGTCATTGCCATCCTCAGATTCTAACTTGCCCAGGGTCACCCAGTGGATTTCAAAAGACTTCATTCTATTTCTGCATCAGTTCTAGATAGCTTTCTTCAAGAAAGTCTGGTTAACAGTTCAGCATCCTGTATTTGTAAGAAAAAAGTCCCTCATCTGTCCTTTATTGTCTATAGGTATCTCATTCCAGGACCTTTACTTCTCACAGGCTAAACTTTTGAGCTTCTGAGAACTGTCCCTCCTTAAAGGGTTACCTACAAAATTGTATTCTTAATCATGGTTATATTTTTGCCAGGAAGGCTTGGAAGTAGTGGCCTTATTGTTAAGAAAAGAACTTTCTTTTGTAACAGACACGTTTGTGTTATGCACCTATCCATCCTTTATAACAACATTAATATGGCCTTTCATAAGAATCAATAGATTTGCTGATACTGTTTCTGTAACTTTAAACCATGTTTGCAAGATCTTAAATTCACCATGTCTGTCAGATGCGTTTCCTCGTGTCTTCTTCTCAGGCCTCTAGGTTCAGGGTTGATTTATCCTCCCCTCCGATGACTCCCCACTTAAGAAAGGGGTTATTTCCTCAGCTTTAAGCATCAGAATGCCACAAAAGACATTTTTAGAATATGTGCTTGCCTTTTTCATGACAGAAAGATGAAGGTTATAATAGCAGTTGGTGGGAATTTCCAGCAACCTTGGTGGTGATTGTTTCTGAAAATGTAACGGGGACAGAATAATCCAAAATAAAAGTGAAATATTTAAGTTTTCTGCACTTGGAAGCTTGGAAGTGTGGAGAAAGAATCTTAATGGTTAAGATGCTCATCTCTGCCTTGGGGATGGGTCGGGGGTGTATGCAAATAATAGATATGTACCCAATTCAGTAACAGCCCACTACACAGCTTCTGTTTGTACCTATTAAAATCCTTCCCTGGTAGTCTGACATTTCATATATGGGTTACAAGAGGGTGACGACAGCTGTTGAGCATCCAGGTCTAAATTAGATTTGTTGATGGCAATGCTGTTTGCTAAGTAACAGTGCCTCTGAGCTGTGTTTAGCCCTATACAAAATCAGGTTTCTGATTCCCCCCCACCCCAACATTGCTGGCTTTTGTTGAATACTTAGTTTTGCAGTTTTGTGACTACAGTGGCCTGGTTGGGGCAATTTGCAACTCAATCGTCAATCCACATGCTTGTCCCTCATTCCTGTTCCTTTCTTTTCAAGCTTCATTCCATCTAAACCAACATAACCATTGATACTGTTCACCTCAAGTTTGCGTAAAACTGGTATAGTTGGCACTCTGTACCCACAAATCATTTATCCATGGATTCAACTATCCACAGTTTGTGTGTATATGTGTATATGTATATGTATATATATATATATATATATATATATATATATATATATATATATATATATATATATATATATATATATACACACACTCCAAAAAACAAACCTTGATTTTGCCATTTTATATAAGGGACACCATTTTACTATGCCATTGTATTTAATGGAATTTGAGCATCCACGGATTTTGGTATCCACAGGGGATCCTGGAACCAAACCACAGCGGATACCAAAGGCACACTGTAGTTGAAACCCAAATTAGATTGCAACTTTCCTTTAAAAAGAAACCAAAGTTAGTAGTGACTGTGGTTATGTGGATTCAATCAGAATTTGAAAGGAATGTTTATGTTAGCCAGGAAAGGGAAGAAAAAAGGAAACAGATGAGCTCCTGACTACTGGACCAGTTTGGTGATTGGTAAGCATGACATCTGAACTGGACCACCATTTACAGGGTGATGGCTATAGGTTTTGTGTTGCTTCCTCACACATCTGATTTTGTCTTCATCAATATCACTGGAAAACAGGAGGATTGTTGTTTTACATTTTAAATTAGCATTGTTGTGACATCCCATAAAAAGCTTTCTCCTCCCAAAGCTTCCTCAAATAATGTTTTTTATTCCATGTGCAATTGTTACATCTAACAGTGGCCTAATGATGCCATACTAGTTTCCCCTTCAAGACAACATGGAGAAATGATATCTTGGTGAAGTACATAGACTTCTCTTGGTTCAAGCAAACAAAACTTCTTTGCTCAGAAATATCCAGGAAATGTGTGTTTCCCTCTAAGAGTTTTGTTCACTTTACAGCATAGGTTTGTGCAAGCTCAGTCAAAATAGTAGGTAGGATCACAGGCCTCCTCTACACAGTCAGAAACATTTTAGAAACAAGTTCTCTAAACTACTTACTTTATATATATCTTGGGCAGAAAAAAATTAAAATGCACAGATATAGGATGGGTGACACCTGGCTTGAGATCAGTACATGTGAAAGGGACCTAGAAGTTTTAGTAGTCTACAAGCTGAACATGAGCCAACAGTGTGATTCAGCAGCTAAAAAAGCCAATGCAATTCTAGCCTGCATCGATAGGAATATAGTGTCTAGATCAAATGAAGTAATAGTACACTCTAGTTCCCTGTTTTGAGGCGTTGTTGTGTCCACTCCAATTTACAGCATCCCTATCATGGGGTTTTCATGGCAGGATTTGTTCAGAGAGGGGTTTAAGTGTGATTTGTCCAAGCTCACCCAGTGGGTTTCCATGGCTGAGTAGGGATTTGAACCCTAGTCTCCGGAGTCATAGTCCAGTGTTCAAACTACTACACCATACTGGTTCTCTTTGAGGCAAAGTACAGTCAATTAAATCTGGCGAAAAGGATATGGTGATTTGGATAGATACGTGTTTTGTGTGTATTTACCAGGCTGAAGAATCTTTTTCCATTCTAGTCACTTTTGGAAAGTTGGCATTGGCATACAGCTAAGCTGTGATGATATAAAGACTAACTCAGACTACATTGAGACTTATGAATATACCTTGGTTTTTTATATTTATTTTTTTTTATTGAAGCTGGCACTGTCTCAGCAAGTAGGAACCACACCCTTTTGACTATGAGTTGCTCTCTTCTGAAGAGGAGTAAATACAGTTGAGGGTAAACAACAGCACTAAGGAAATGTTCTTTTGTTAAAAAATAATAATAATAAACTAATTTTGTACCCTGCTTGGCATGTTGGTGCAAAACAAATCAAAACTGTTCTGTAAACGTGATGCTATCTAAATTGTCTTTCTGTTATATTTAAGTGAGGATTGGGTTTTATTTAGCTCCGATAAATTTAACTTTTTAAAAGCTAGATAATTTCCCTCTTCTTCCTTTTTGTTCACTACAGAACAAATTGCCCTAGGTCCGTATATTAACTGATAGCACTGGGGCTGCTTTGGGTGTATAGCGCTCCTCTTCCACTGCCATTCCCATTTTCTTGTGTGTCTTGTCTTATTTAGATTGTAAATCTGAGGGCAGGGGACTGTCAAATGAACAATTTGCAAGCAGCTCAGAGAGCCCTTATGACCAAAGAGCAGGATATAAATACTCTAAATAAATAAATAAATACATTTTAGCATGACGCAGTAAGTTGGAATAGAAATCTTGGCATGTATCTAGCATGCTTGCAGCACCACAGAAGTAGGGTGTGCCTCATTATCTTTAAAACAGACTTAATGCATTCTTGTTAACCCGAAGATATCTTTTTCTTAGGAATTCTAAGAAAACATGTCTTCCCAGCTAATATAATTCAATGCTTTTGTGGCATTGTTCTTCTGAAACACCCTTCCCTTGTATTTCTATCTTACTTGGGGTGTTTCCCAATTCTTGGCATGTTGTAATTTTAATTTGTGTGTAAAGAATGCAGTATTTTAGTTGGTTTCATTTTTTTCCAGCTAATTTCTAGTTAGTTTGTCACACAGATAGGTTTTATACTAAGCCTGGAATCCAAAGAGCTACTTCCAGTAGACCAAAGGGTATGGATGTGCCTTCTGGGGTTTTTTTACTGTGAAAAGCAATCCTTACTATTCCAAACCATATCTGAAGCTACAAGTTCTTAGTTTTAAAAGTAGCTTGCCAAATAGATTTGAGACTGCTGGCTGAAAAATACAAGCCCAAAATTTGTTTGTTGGGTGAATAAAACTAATCAGATAATCTCGACCTCTCAAATTGACTTTCTCAGAATTTGGGGCTGAAACAAGTCTCAGCAATGTAAATTGAGCTCTTGATTTGTGATTCATAGATATGGAACCGTGTTTTGGATTAGCCTCTGGGGTGTGTACACAAGGGCCCTTGGTCTCTTCCAGCAGTTAGTTGAACCAGTCTTAGAAAAGGATCCATCCCTTTAAAAACACAAGCTGAGTCAGATTCTCTCCCTCCCTTCTATCCAGCGGTACAAAGTGAAACTGTAAAAAGACCCAAAGCACAACAATTTGCCTTACTTTTTTGTGGACATAACTGTGTGGATTGGTGTAGAGACTACAACACCTTCAAAAGAACTTAGCATTATTCGATATAATGTGTGGTTGAATTTCTGGAGGCACGGAGCTGGGGGATACTATTGCAGGTACTGCAAAGTCTTTTAGCACGGTACAGTCTAATAATAGTATGTGCCAAATGTTGTGTTAAATAGCACCAGAATAGATTGCACTGTGTAATTATGAGCATATTTTATGGTAATGCTTCATGGAACCTGGCAAATAGCAAATGTGGCGCGCGGTCAAGCCTTCTGAAAAGCTCCCCACAAGAGGAAGTGTTCAGGCTCATGCACTATTTGATAAGGGGTATCTAACACTGGCAGTCGCATTCAAAATGTACACTACGTCTGATACTAGTGGGCTTTTCCTCCTCCACTCCTTGCATCATTTGCAGTGTTCTGAAGTACAGGCTGAACCAAGCAAGAGCTCTTCTTCCTATGCTCCCTTCTAAACTGTTATACTACTGTATTTTCACCTTCCTACAGTATGATTTGAAACGGTGACTATGGATTTTTCACGTCTTCACACGTATACCCCTCCCCAGTGTGTGCCAGAGAACACTGGCTATACTTATGCACTCAGGTGAGAACCTTTTTACTTGTAGAGTGAACTGGTGGTACAATAAAACCTGGTTTCTGTGTTGTGGGTTTGTGGTATGTTTTAAATCGAGGGGGGGGGGGGAACCTTGAGGTTGATGACAGAGCTCTGTGTGTTTCTTTTCCTGAGTTTAATGGAGCAGTTTTCTTTTTTGGTTTTGAACATGGGTTATGAGCCAATGCAACTGGGGATTAAGACAGTGACTCAGGGTTTGTCAGTCTCACTATCAGGAAAGAGTTCCAGAGCCACACCTAGATACCATTGTTTTGGTTAGTAACTGTGGAGGGTAGAATTAGGTAACCTACTTAGTCTGGTTCTGTTCTTTTGCTGTACGGTGTACGTTCATTACTTTTGCTAAACAAGGACAATGGAATAAGTCTGCCATTACTTTCCAAGTGCATTTTTAACTTGAGCATCAGTTTTTATGTAATGTGGAATTGACCTCTGAGTGTACTAATGATGATTCCATAGTTACTAATGCAGCTTCTAATAATTCAAGAAATATTAATTCTGCAGGAAGGTCCAGGAAAATGGTGTGGCAGACCGACACTTGCTGTATGTACTCATGCATAGGTCTATAAATTTTAGTCAAAAACTTGCCCCCCGAAAACCTAAGCTGACTTATCCACAGGTCAGTGTAAGTTCTGTGCTTTAACTCATATAAAAATGGGAACCATTCCTGGTGAAAGACAAGAGCAGAGGTCCTCGGACTTTTTGATCCGGGGGCCGGTTCGCTGGCCGCCAGATCTTCCGGGGGGCTGGAGGCGCACCATTTTGTGTTCCTTACCATCCCACTCATTTGTCTGTTTATCTGATTTACTTCCTGCCACTCTCAGAATTAGGTTGCAAGGTGGTTCACAAAGTGATTAACAAACAAGTATACTATCATACTGCCCTTAGTGTACCAGGTCAACCTGACATATTAGAATACCACCTTTCAGATTCCCTGAGCACAAGATGTATAGGACACAATCAGCATTTTGTACTGTGAACCTGCTGTAATGAGTTCTATGTTCTCTGAAATTGTAAGTGGCCAGTAGTGTTGCCACCACATTTTGGAGCAGCTGAAGGTACATATGTCAGAAACCAGCCCCTGCGACAGTTTCCACATTACATGTGTTGACCTAAAAACAAAAACTACACTGGGACATCTACTCAAGTTTCATATTACATATTTATAAGAGTGTACTGTGGAAGTTGTCCCTAGTGGGATATGGTGTGTAGACTTTTGATAGTTTTCCCCCTTTTCAGCTGTTTCATTTTGTGATTTTCCAGTAGTTATGTAGGCAGGAAGATTGTTAGGAAAACAGCAATATTGTAAGAGTTCACTAGATTTCCAAGGACTCATAAAAGTGGAAAAGAGTGGGAGGTCAAGCTTGAGTACCACCGAGTCCATCTTCACAGATTATGATCCTCAGGGAAAATGGTGGAGCTTGTAAAACAGGTGTAATCTGTTGTACTTGTTCTCAAAATGTCTTCTGTAGCACCCTTAGTCAACAATGAATCAGATCCCAGGATTTTTTCCTCTTGTCTTTAATAAAGTGACCAGTATTTGGAGATGGCACCTGTACAACTAGGCAAGAAGGCCTTTCTTTCTTTCTTTCTTTCTTTCTTTCTTTCTTTCTTTCTTTCTTTCTTTCTTTCTTTCTTTCCTTCCTTCCTTCCTTCCTTCCTTCCTTCCTTCCTTCCTTCCTTCTTTTATATAGCATGTGTAGGGTTAAGTGGAGTTGGTAAGATTTATGGATTGATTCCCATCTCTGAAATGTATGACAGAAAGATATTTTATCTTGCAGTATTAACTTCAGAACAAGCCACTCTCCCCAGGGCTGGGGAGTCGGAATAGGAGAAAGAGGTTTTTACAGGAGTAGGAATAAGAATAAGGAGAAACAAAATATATTTATTACTCTTTATTCCTTGTTATTATATTGTACACGCAAACACCAATTTTATTATGTTGCACTGTCTAATTTAATTTTTATCTTTAGTTTTTGGTAATATGAATTTGTAAGCCTATTAAAGTTAATTTTAACTCCCCAGCCCTGATTCTTCCAGAGATGTTTGTATGACATCAAGTAGTGAAATATTGGGATTTACCTCTGTTGTATTCATAAACAATCTACATTTGTGATCAGCCCTGTCATTAAGTTATTAAATAAATAGGCATGTTTGCCAAATGAACACAAATTGGGGCTAGTGGCAGCTGTCCTTAGTGCCTGGCATTTCATTTCAATGAAGTATCTGTAGTCATCACTGGCAGGAGCAGAATATAAGCAGCTGTATAATGGCACATGTCAGTAATAGCTTGTGATATGAGAGACACTTTGTTTTGCAGAATGGTGTTTACCATTGCAGTCTATATCAAGAGGTGAAAGCATGATCTGCAGAGTACTCAGTGGGCTAGTATTTAAAAAGTACTAGTCTGGTAGCCATAACTTAAAAGGAGTTGCTTGTAGGTGAGCGAGTTGGTTGGCAGAAGAAGGATGCAGAACTCCATCCCTCCTTAATATCCACCATGGGGAAAAAAATCACCCCTCGCCTTGTGCTTTTCATAGAACTGCAGTGTGTTGATGTAAGAGGGTTGAAGTTCTCCATTACTTTGCTTCCAGCCCCAACAGGCTAATAAATATTTTTGTAGGCTATAACTTTCCCGAATATATTCCCATGTGTGTTAACAAGATGGACCTTTAAGCAACCCTGGTTCATCTGATCTGGGATGCAGTATAA